GTGGAGAGGAGGGAGCCCGCAGGTGGAGAGGAGGGGGCCCCGCAGGTGGAGAGGAGGGGGCCCCCGCAGGTGGAGGTGAAGCTGGTGAAGCGCACCCAGGCCTCCAGGCTGTGGCTGCTGAGAAAGGAAGGGCTGATTGGCCGAATCCGGGATGTGGATGGGGTGGGAGGAGGTCAGAGGCCCGCTGCCCAGATCAGGGGGTTGTTTGTGTAACTCCAGCTCCACCCCTCCTTCTCGGGGTTGGTTCTGGCACCAGGACCATCTGCCCTCTCCCCTGAGGCTATGGCACTTGAAGGCCGTGATTCCTGAGTTACTGTCTTCAGGTCGTGTGAACATGCCTTGGTGTTGAACAGGCTTTGGCCTGGAGCGTGTGTGTGTGTGTGTGTGTGTGTGTGTGTGTGTGTGTGTGTAATGATAGCTTTTTTTTTTTCATCATCAGAAAAATGTAATAAAAACATAATAAAAGTATAGAACCTATTTTGTAGGTCTGAGAGTTAAATGAAGACTCTTGGCAGTTGCTAAACTGTTAAAACCTAACTTTTCCCTTAAACTATTCACACCAGTTGATTCAGTTTCCTTAAGAAATGTCCTGGTCAGGTGTGGCTCTGTGGTTGAGCATTGACCTATGAACCAAGGGGTCACCTTTCCATTCCCGGTCAGGGCACATGCCCCGGTTACAGGCTTGATCCCCAGTAGGGGGCGTGCAGGAGGCATTTTTTTTTCATCATCAGAAAAATGTAATAAAAACATAATAAAAGTATAGAACCTATTTTGTAGGTCTGAGAGTTAAATGAAGACTCTTGGCAGTTGCTAAACTGTTAAAACCTAACTTTTCCAAAGAGACTTGGAGCTTGCCCTTAAACTATTCACACCAGTTGATTCAGTTTCGTTAAGAAATGTGCTGGTCAGGTGTGGCTCTGTGGTTGAGCATTGACCTATGAACCAGGAGGTCACCTTTCCATTCCCTGTCAGGGCACATGCCCGGGTTACAGGCTTGATCCCCAGTAGGGGGCGTGCAGGAGGCAGCCCATTGATGACTCTCATGTTTCTCCCTCCCTCTCTGAAGTCAATAAAAATACATTAAAATAATAAAAAAAAAAGAAACGTGAAGGTCAGGATCTCTGGCCACCGAACTATCTCACCAGGAACCACGTAGCCAGGCAAGGCGCGTCCTCCTGGGGCTGTCTCCCCGTCTCTCACCATCTATCGAACAGCTGTACCAGGCGGGAAAGAATGTTCCTTTCGCTATGTCAGTGCCACTAACCAGGACTGGGAGGATCTGGGTTGATACAAAGAAGGTGCTGTCACTGATGTCTGAGTTTTCCTTACGGAGAAAACTTCAGGAGAGGAAAACACTTATTGATTGATTGATTGATTTGAGAAATAGAGAGAGAGAGAGAGAGAGAGAGAGAGAGATTGATTCCACCTATTTATGCATTCATTGGTTCCACCTATTTATGGATTCATTGGTTGGTTCTTGTATGTGCCATGACTGGGGCTCGAACCCTCAACTTGGGCACATCGGGACGATATCCTAACAACTGAGCTCCCCGCCAGGGCAAAGAACACTTCTTGACCACAGGGAGCTGCCCGCTGTGTCAGTGCTCAGGCTGCCGTAGCGAGGCCCCGCCCTATTTATGCATTCATTGGTTCCACCTATTTATGGATTCATTGGTTGGTTCTTGTATGTGCCATGACTGGGGCTCGAACCCGCAACTTGGGCACATCGGGACGATGTCCTAACAACTGAGCTCCCCGCCAGGGCGAAGAACACTTCTTGACCACAGGGAGCCGCCTGCTGTGTCAGTGCTCAGGCTGCCGTAGCGAGGCCCCGCGGAGCAGGCGGCTTTAACAACCGAAATTCATTCTGACGTGCTGGCCGAGGAGCAGTCCAGAATCAAGGTGTCAGCAGGCTGGTTTCTTCTGAGCCTGTCTCCGTGTGGGCGGCCGGCTCCTTCCTGAGTCCCCACCTGGCTGTCCGTCTGCCTGGGTGTCCTAACTCATACGGACACCAGTCCTATGGGATTCGGGCCCACCCCTCTGACCTCCTTTTAGCTCAATTACCTCTTTAAAGACCAGTCCATTTTGAGGTGCTAGGGGCTGGGACTTCCGTATAAATTGTGGGGGGGGTCCCAGGTCAGCACCTGAACCCGCTTTCTGACTGGCTTTGTCACATTGCCTCCCCTCGTGGGCCCCGGTGCTGCATGTCTAAAACGGCACGGCTTGCCCCGGGCCCACCAAGCTTGGGACTAGTGGATATGGGATGCCAACCCGGCTGCCCCTTTCTCTCGCCAGGTGCTGCAGGCTGGCGTGTGCGTCCCTGCAGCGCCACGGGCTCCACACGGCGGCGAGACACTGCAAGGCCCGCACGGGCGCTGAGCACCTGTGGCTGACGCGGCACCTGAAGGACCCATTCGTGAAGGCGGCGAAGGTGGAGAGTTACCGGTGTCGGAGTGCCTTCAAGCTTCTGGAGGTGGACAGGAGGCACCGGATCCTGCGGCCCGGCCTCCGGGTGTTAGACTGCGGGGCGGCCCCCGGGGCGTGGAGCCAGGTGGCGGTGCAGAGAGTCAATGCTGCAGGCACAGGTGGGTCTCGCAGCTCGTGGGCCAGCGTGAGCCAGAGGCCCGAGGACAGAGCGGTGGCGCGCTCTCTGAAGGTGGTTGTTTGGTAGTAATAATGGTAAAGACAGGACACCGACATGTTCAGAATGAAAGGTGCGGTGATGATTAGAATCGCCTCGGATCACCCCGCTCGTGTGCGTGGTGTGCGTCCCTTCAGAGTTCTTTTTTTGCACACGCAACGCCGTACCCACGTGCTTTTCGGGATGCGCTTCCACCGCAGCCCTCTTGCTGCCGAGAAGCCTTACCCGGCCTTTTCCGCTGATGGCAGTGCTGTGTCTGTGACCGCACCGTTCCGGTCCTGCTGCTGAAGCCCGTGGGCTCCCCGAGGTCCCGCTGGGGCTGCTCCGCTCGCACAGCTGGGGCTCCGGACTCTCAACTCGGGCTCAACCCGAGGGACGCAGCTTTTATCTTTCATATTTTCGGGTTTTATCAAAGGTTTTTTTTTTTTTTCAATCCTCACCCAAGGTTATGCTTATTGATTTTAGAGAGAGGAGATTGGGGGAGGGACGGGGAGGGGAGAGACATTGATATGAGAGAGAACATTGATTGGCTGCCTTCTTCTGCACTTACCCCAACCGGGGTTCGAACCCACAACATAGGTATGAACCCTGACTGGGAATCGAACCTGCAGCCTTTCCAGGTATGGGATGGCGCTCTAACCAACTGAGCCACACCAGCCTGGGCTGTCAAAGGTGTCTTTTTTAAAAATATGAAAAAGGTTCCCCTGATTAATAAACAGGTAAACCAACACCCATAGAACTTAAAAGACAACAGCATCCTTTTGAGCAGGTCCTGGGGGACTGTCCCCGCATCTAGGGCATCAGGTCTTGGCGCTGCAGTGAGCCTTCTTGCCGTCTGCATTCCCAGCCGTAGAGTCTGAGGGTCCTGCGTGCGCTGGCGTTACATGACATTTGTGACAGTTCACCAACATCTCTCCCAGCTGCCTTAGCGTGGGGGCGTTTGTGCCCATTTTCCTCACGAGAAAACTGAGGTAGAGGAGTGGAGTGACCCGCAGAAGGTATAGCATTGGGCCTGCCTGGTTCACTCAGCAGCCCCGCCACATGGCTGGGTGGGGCGCCGTGGGGCTTGAGAATTGGCATAAAAACATTGTTTTTACTTCCCATGCTTGTTGACCGAGTGACTGAACTTGGGTCAGAAACGTCCCTGGCGCCACTGCAGTGGTTCCTGTCCCCGACGGGCTGTGTGGAGGAGCAGGAGGCCACGGTGGACGTGGGGAGAAGTGGAAGCAGAGTGTGTGGGCGAGCAGCTTGCTTTCTCTTCCTCCCGGAAGTTGCCCAACTGCACCCAGAGCGATTTGCCTCGGTGGACGCTCCTGCGGGGGTGACGTGATGCTCGGGGAAAGCACCGAGCCGGCCAGCCGCTGCGGGAAGTCGGACGTGGGCAGGGACCACTCTTGGCCCTTATTCTACATCTGCCCTTTCCCCCATATCTCAGCCTCTTTTTAATGGAAAGAATTCGGCTGAAGCTACAGACAGACCCGTTGGTTTAACCCAGGGGCACTTTACATGCTAGTGTAACAGTTTCTATCTTCGCTCACCAGGTGAGCAGTCTCCGGGATGAAATGAAATGACATTAGAGCTGGAGACGCGTCCGGGGTATGGCCCCGGGCCTGCCTTCCGCTCGGACAGCACTGGCGCCTCTGGGCCGGTTTTCTCAGATGTGGTGGGAGGCACCCCCACTCCCCCACGTGTGCACGTGCAGGATGTAGAGAGTGGGAAACGGCCCGTGTCCGCCTGTCTGCACATTAGCTCTTTGCCTTGGTCCTATTTCACGACTTCGCGGCATGTGCTTTTGTGGGAAGAATCGGTGTAAATAACTGATTCCCAGTTTCTTCCTTAGATCCCAGCAGTCCCGTGGGCTTTGTGCTCGGGGTCGATCTTCTTCACATCGCCCCCCTGGGAGGAGCGACGTTCGTGTGCCCCGCTGACGTGACGGACCCACGGACCCTGCAGAGAATCCAAGAGCTGCTTCCCGGCGGGAGAGCAGATGTGGTTCTGAGTGACATGGCCCCCAACGCCACAGGCATCCGGGGCCTGGACCACGACAGGCTCATTGGCCTGTGCTGGTCGCTTCTGGACATGGCTCCAGACCTGCTGTGTCCCGGGGGCACATTTCTCTGTAAAACCTGGGCTGGAAGTCAGAGCCACCGGTTACAGAAGAGACTGATGGAGGAATTCCAGAGCGTGAGGACCCTGAAGCCTGAGGCCAGCAGGAAGGAGTCCTCAGAGGTGTACCTCTTGGCCACACAGTACCGCAGAGCCCGGGGGCCCAGGGGGGCCTGAGCTCCCTCCCACCCTTGCAGGGCCTGGTCACCGCACACGTCGCTGTACTCTGCAGGGCTGGGAGGCCCGGGCTTGACCTGGGAGGCAGCGGGCAGGACAAGTGGGGATCTTTCTAAACCGAAGAGGACAGAACTGTATTCAGTGGCCATGATAAAAAACGGTCTGTCACGTGATTTGTGAAGAGGAAGTTATCCTGAGAGAGGGACAAAGATGAAAGGACGAGCCGACAGGCTGGGCAGGGAAGGATAAACACAGGCAGCCGGAGAGACGCGCCTGCCACACGCTCGTCTTACGGGCTGAAGTGGCCACAGAACAGGGTCCGCCTCTGCTCCGGACAGCGCAGGTTTCCAGCTGAGATTTTGGCTCTACAGCGTCATGTGGGAAAATCTGAAATTCCCGTCTGGGGACTAAATTCCTTCTGGTGAATGATCCGGAGATGCATCCACCCTTCAAGCAGCAATGTCCCCAGGCAGTTAGGGAGACACTCGTGTGAACTGTGCATGGGCGGGTGTGCTTTGGGTTTTGCTGGAAAGACAGGGCTGTAATACTCGGGCTCCCTGGACAGTAAAGGTCATTGCCAAAGCAGGCAGCATGCGTGTGATTTCCCTTTTCCTTCCAGGGCATTGAGGCCACTTTATAAACAGGTAGGCTGTATTGCCTGAGGGATTTCCATGCTTTTAAGTTTGCTTTTTTTTTAAAAAATTTTTTTATTGATGTCAGAGAGGAAGGAGAGGGAGAGATAGAAACATCAATGATGAGAGAGAATTATTGATCGGCTGCCTCCTGCACTCCCCCCACTGGGGAGTGAGCCCACACCCCGGGCATGTGCCCTGACCGGAATCCAACCCAGGAACTTTCAGTCCGTGGGCTGATGCTGTATCCACTGAGCCACACCAGCCAGGGCTTAAGTTTGCTTTTTTTTTTTTTTTTTTTTTATTTTTTTTTTTTTTTTCGGAGGGGAGGGGGGGGGGAAAAAGGGCCA